GGTGGAACCATATTGTTCAACTGCAATCCATGTAAATACTCTAAAAAAATTAGCATCACACTAAAATACAAACACAAATAGATTGATTTATTTGATCAGTTATGAAATTTAATTTGAAGTTTGTGTTAGAAGAATGGTAGTAACCTGTGTTTAAAATTCTAATATAATCTATATCCCTAAACTATATTTTTATTTTGTCACTGTTATCTAAACATGAAAGCCAGAATGTTATAATACCATATAATGTATTTTACATAAAAAGGACGCATAGACTGAATGAGCTGATTTAGTATTAATTACATTTATAGTAACTTTAGTCTGCTCAGGGTTTAACATCAACCATTATTTATAATTTAATTAGGCTAATTACAGCTTTTATTAAATATTTAGAAAACCACATGTGACATTCCAGGAATACACAGATCCATATATTCAAACAAGTATATATTTGGATACCAGTGCATCTGGGGAATTGTTATAATGCATATTTTAATGTTTGTGAATAAATGAGGCAGCAAGTCTGACTCACTAAATCAAAGAATCCAGTACAGACAGTAATTCAAATATAACCTAACTCGTGCAAATACAAAGGTCAATTTTAAGAGAACACATCTTTATTCCCAGAGAGGCTTACACATGCATCAACGTACAGAAAACAACGATTGCTAAACCTGAGTTCAAAATCATGCAAGAGCAGCACAAATGTCTTGTCAAAACATCAGCTCCTTGGCTCCATCCATAAAAAAACATCATTTCTATTCATTTAAGTCTCTGATTAGTCAAGGAGCATTAGACTTTGTACAGCAAAAAGCATTAAGTAGTCATTATTTACGTAACTACTTAAACTAAAGCCAGTGCTTTCATGGAAAACCAAACCAAGTAACAATAAATGGACTGAAAATATGGCGTATTACTTAAAGAAACAGGTCACCCAAAAAAAGACAATCTTCCCCTTCAGTGAGCAGTGAGTTGAACTGGATCAGTCTGATTTGTGAATGAATCCTCTCCATTGATTCAGACCCGACTCATGGAAACTGCATGGAAAAGAGCAGGTGGTACATTATTCAAAAATTCTCCTTTTGTGTTTCACACAAGAAAGAAAACCATATGGGTTTGGAATGACATAACGGTGAGTAAATGATGGCAGAAATGTCATTTTTAGCTGAACCCGAATTCCTTTATTTTCTGCTGACTTCATCAGTCACTGATCAGTTCTGAAGCTTGATGGTTAGGGCTGTGTTATTAGCTTTCGTCTCTGGGAGGTCTTCCTCAGTATCTTTCTGTAGTCATAAGGGTTGTCCTCACTTTGACTCTCCGTAGAGGGCATTCTAGAGAACGAGTGCCTGTGGACAGAGAGGGGCAGATAAAGCGTGACTTCACACGGAAATGAAGCGAGAAAGGGAAAGAAAGCGGGGAGGTTTTCACATTTTGATATCTGCATCTTCTGCTCAGACACATTTATCATGTGCAGTGCTGTGTGCTGCACTGAGGTCAACGCTTCGAGGATGGTATTTGTTAAACAGACCGAATGATGCAAATGTTTAATGTTCTTTCACCTTTTCTCCGTTGGGTCCTTAGGGAGGTCAGATTTGGGGACATCAGACCGTGGTCTCTCAGAAGAGCTTCTTCTTTCAGTGGAAGACCTCCGTTTGCTGGAGCGGCGTCTGTCACTGGGCAGGCTTGTGGACTTTGTGCTGGACAAACCCTGGTAGTATTGGTCATCATTGTCCAGCCTTTTGGGGCTGGTGGGTGCAGAGAAAACAGATGCATTTGGAACTATTAGCTTCATGTGAGGAACAGACCAAAGTCATTGATTGTTCCTTCAGAAGACTATTTTTGGAGTTCGGCCAAACTCATTTCCATCTACTTTGGAATGACATACATTTTAGTGAATTCTTTGTTACCGAAACCCCCCCTCCTTGCCTTCAGCCAAAGTTTATTGCTCCTGATCATAAATAACATCTATTTTGTCATAGCAGGCTGCTATTAATGGGTGGCCATTATGCCGTATTGAGTGTATTTCATGGCTGTTCTGCAGTATGTAAGCGACGGCCTTCAGGACAGGCTCTGATTCATGACTGGCTTTTCGGCAGTGATGGACTCAAATGGAAATGTTCTTTCAGTAGACTTTACTCATTGTCTCAGGGCTTATCAGCAGCGTTATGTAATGAAAACAGAGATCTATGAAGCCAAGAGCCTATGGCCTGCCAGCCAGACCGCTGATGCAATTATATCAGTCAGCCCCACTGGCCTACTGATGCACTTCCTGTCTGTCTAACAAACAAACAAAAAACAATTATTGTTTTAATATCATTTTTTTATATATAATAATATACTTGAAATAGTAAAATGTTAATATAAAATACATTAATATGAAAATGATTATATTGTATAGTTATAGAATGTTTATTGTTATAAAGAAAAAAAAAATACAGAGTAATGAATGTGAAAATGCCAAAAATAAAACATTAATATAAAACATATTAATAGAAAAATTTAATACTTATTTTTTTGTATTACCATGAAAGGGTCTTAAAGAGAATAATAGTAATAATGATGATAATAATACTAATAACAAATATGCAATACTTTATAAAGATACTTAAAATAATAAAGCTTTTTTATATATATATATATATATATATATATTTAAAGTTTCAAGTTTCATTTCAAGTTTAGAGCAACATATATATGTTGCTCTAAACTTGAAATATCATGAAATTAATGTCAAAAAGCCAAAAATAGAAATAGAAAATATATCCATATAAAGATGATTTATGACCATAAAAAGAAAATAATCATCATCATCATTAAAATAAAGTATTTATGTTTTTTTTTTATTGTAGTAATATTTGGTGTTCTGACTTGATCCTGAATTAATTATATTTATTATATAATTAATATATTAATTGTATGGAGAATTTGTGTGGAAAACCTAATCAAATTGATCAAAATGCTAAAAACAAAACATGAATACAAAACATATTAAAATAAAAATGACAAAAATGTAATATTTTTTTTTGTATTACCATAAAACAGTCTTAAAGATCATGCATCATGAACATCATGAAATGAATGCCAAAAATAGCAAAAAGGCCAAAAATATGCTTATTTTCTTCAAGCAGAATACAATTTCTTTTTGTTTTCTTTAGATGTTGAGGTAAAATTGGACTTGGACACGGTTTTGAGGGATTCATTCAAGTGGCAGCTACACAGTTCAGGAAAACAGAGCGGTCTGTTACATCTGTTTGCTCCGTCTCTCTAGTTCTGCACATTTGTACTGCAGTACACCTTCATTACCTGCATGTCCTCAGCTTGCCCTTTTTCTCCCCAGATACCTCATTGGTCCCCTGTCTCTCTCTGCGTTCTCTCTTTCCACTGCCAATCTCTTCCTCTATTTCTCTCTGACAGAACGTGAGCCGGTTATCAGAGAGCCAGGGATTTGTCTGTCTTACTGACCTTCTCACTCTTAAAGTCAACATGAAATGCTCAAGCCTCAAGTTACATATAGCATTTACAAGTAAAACAGGATGTTCAATGAGAAAAAAATATGCATGTTCTGATCAATCATTCGCAACAAGACCAGAAGCATATATACTATGAAAGTTGATTTCATGAATACTGAAATGATGCATGCTGCTGCCCATCTCTGACTTGCAAAAACTGTGAGTCTGTGAGTGATCTCCTAAAGCGTCCGGCACCCTGTCTGTCTGTCAGAGCTGTTTGTCACAGCAGCTGGATTCATGTTCACACACAATATTTCACACATGCTGTGACACTGCGGATATGTCACGCTGGCCTAACCGCTGACAGCCAAATACAGGAACTAGCCGTAATATGCAAGCTATTAGCATCAGCGTTACAAATGACTCTATGGTTTACAATTCAGTTTTTATTGATTTTATATCTGATTCTTTATGCTTTACCTTCATTTGGTCTGACTTGAGAAAAATGTAACTGCATTATGTATTAGTTAGACAGACTTGATAGTTATACAGTATATTTTAACAGCAAATAAGATTAAAAGATGAACTGGAGGCAATACTGATACAATTTGTTTTTAACTCATGTGAGTTAAGATTTATCTTTATATCCAATGTTGTTCAATTTTTTATGAGCTATGTTAGGGACAGCATCTATTATTTATCTATTACCAACACATAATATCTTATACCAAAATCCATAGTTTGATAAGACATGTATTTGATTTGATCCATTTTTAAAATCTCTCTTTTGCCTTTTTATTAGATCAGACCCCCCCAAAATAAAGGATTACTGGATTGAACAAAATTACATTTAAAAATACAAAAATAAAATGCAAATCATTCAATATTTTGGAGTCAGATTTTGTTTTCTTTAGAAATTAGAACTTATTTAGCAAGGATGCATTAAACTGATCAAAAAATGATAGTGAAGACTTACACATTGTTACAACAATATTTCAAATGAATACTGTTCTTTTGAAATGTCTAATCATCAAGAAATCCTGAAATAATGCATAACAGCTTTATAAAAATATGAAGCAGTTATAATAAGAAATGTTTCTTGAGCACCAAATCAGCATATCAGAAAAATTGATCTTCAGTGATACTGAAGACTGGAGTAATGATGCTGAAATTAAGCTTTACATCACAAGAATAATTTACATTTTAAAATATATTACAATAGAAATATTTTTTTTTAAATTCTTTTATAATATTTCACAATATTACTGTTTTGAACAAATACATGCATCTTTGGTGAACATATGAGACTTCAGTTGTAAAGTTGAATTATTTCACTGCACTATTTCATATACTATAAAAAAAGGCAGTATACAGTGTATCGTATGCAGTATGCGGTACACTAGTATTCCATTCCAAACATACTGTAGCTTTTGTCACTGTCTGCAAAGCAGCAGCTTCTAAGGAGAGGGCACAGTGTTGTTTAGTATAACACTTCTGCTAATTGATTTACCTTTGCTTTCTTGGCCTCCTTTTATCGTCCTGGACAGACCTCTGGAAAAGTGTGAGAAAGATCATTAAAGCTGAAGCCCAGATAATCCTTCGATAAACCAAGTCATTGTGTGATGCTGACTCACATGAATGAGTGTGTAGTATGTGGAGTCCTCTGGTGTGTTCAGGGTCTTTGGTTGCTGTGTGCGGCGAGACGTTCGTGACTGCATTGTGTCGGCTGTGGATCAGAAAAACAAAGGCTGAAAACCAACAGAAAATTTAATATTTGACCTTGAAGTCAATACTTTTAAACCCGTTCAAGATGCAATCTTATGTCTAGTGTTATAGGTCTCCTGTGAGAATAAGGAGCAAAGAGAACAACTAATTCCCTGGTGGCGAGCCCCATTGCTACACAGAAGAACAGGATCAGCACACAACATCCAGCTGACCTTTGACCCCTTTGTTCTCATCGAACAAACCGTACGGCATGGTTTAACTCTTGAGCCTTGCTATTTGTAATTATCCATTAACAATCAATCAGAAATGCCTTCCAGTCACAACATGTTCCAACACTGACACAGACAAATAAAAGTAAGAATGAGAATGCTGCTTTGTTCTAAACCCTAGTCAGCTTTCTTGCTGTCTACATAGGCAGCTCCCTTCTAAGGCAGGCACAATCCTAGCTGATACTGAACCTCATAAATTCCTGATTTGAAATGCTCAACATGGGCCTCACTTGAACTGTGCAGGAGGCTTAAATTGACTCCAACAGAGTTTGATGTTAGCAAGTTGCTAAGCTAACAATGCAACTTGTACTGAGCATAAAAAATACATATTGCACAAACTGGGTAAAATAGTTACAATGATTAGTATTATTATTATTAATTACAATGATTAATTATATTATTAGCTTTCATTATTGAAGGAAACACATCTATAATTTCTCTCATTTGTCTTCTTTGGGTGGGTTCATTTTAAATGCAACTGCAGAAATTAATTACAGACGTAATTACATGCAGGTATATATTTATTAATACAAGTACAATGCAAAAAGATGTACATACACAATAAGTGCATTGTACCAAATTATTAATTTATAAGTAAGTACATAGTAAGGCCATAGTACTTACAATAACTGGGTAATATTAAGTAAGTAGGTACTAACCTGCCACTGAAAACAACATTAATCCATGTAGCTACCTTATGTTACAAGTACATTTTTAGGTAAGTACACTGCAAGTACAAGTACTGTCAAAAAGTGCAACGTCAAAAAAGTGTAACACTCATTTAAAAAAGCCTTCGAGACAGAATACTTATCAAATATGATTTTCTTTGCAATCAACACCAAAAGGTACAAAAATGACCTTTGGTTTATTTGAATAGCATCTGCTAACTCAAGCTCTGTTTATCATGTAGAAAGGTCCGGTGTAAAGAAAATTAATCAATGTCCACCAGGACCAGCGGGCACAGGCTGGAGAGTTTGTCATATTTATTGAATGTGTCACTTGAAAGGTCATCAGCAATTCTTGATTGCTCAGAGGTATAAAGCCAATTTGTGGCTCTTATATTAATGCTTGCTGTAATTGCCAGGGCACTTTTGCATGCAATGCGATTAGCATTTAAAGACCTTTCATGTACATGGAAATGTGACTGCCATTCAAAGGGCACTTCTATGTGGAAACAATAATATTTGCACAATAATAATTGTTTCCACACAAAAAGACTCTGGTTAAGATTATTAATTTTGACTGTGGAGCTTCAAAAGACATTTTACAATCACAATAAATCATTAATAAACATGGGGCAGATGACCACAGTATTTATGAAGCAAATATAATCCCTTTAGCAAGATTTTTGTAGAAGTTCAGCTTTCACAGGAAAACAGATCATGTCTACACATAAACCATAATCACTGCTGACAGAATAATCAGGTTTCATTTAGACACAAGGTGCATATCAGGCAAGAATTATCCTCCAAAAAGTAATTAGACATATCGCAACAAAAATCAAATGAACAGTAGATTTGCTCAGCTGGGGGAAAATTTCTGATGACACATCTTGTTGAGCCCAATTTGCACGTTGTGGCACTAGACATCCAATTTTGGATAAGATCAGTCTCTGTTAGAGAAACGGAAACTTCACGTTCTGATAAAATTGACAGCAACAAGTATACTACAGGAGTTGAATTAAGGTAGAGGTAAAGGTTTTCGTAACACTTTATTTTAAGGTGTCCTTGTTACACATTACATGTACTTACTATTTTAATAGCAATTAATTATGCATAATTACATGCAAGTAACCCTAAGACAAACCCTTATCCTAACCCTATCCATATAGTAAGTATATGTAGTTAATTGATATTACTCAGTACTTAAATGTATAATTATACTGTAACATTTCTTACTTTAAGCTATTTTAATCTTTAAAAAACAGCTGTATTTCACCACTTTTGTTTTCTGTTAAAATAATCAAAGCTACTCTTGAAGTGCAAAAACAAAAACCGTATTACATTATAAGTACATAATTATTGTCCATATGTAATTCTATTGTCTTTGAATTTTAAGTGTACTGCCCCATGTACTGACAAGCATACATTTATGCCATTTCTATTGAAACACGTATGTCATGCATTTAAACATATTGTAATAACACATTTGTTGATTAGAACATTTAAAATGTATGAATTGAATGTAAAACTAAATAACACATCACAGTTAAAATTATGATCAAGTACTTTACAAAATAAGTGTACTTCTTAAAAACATGACAAAAGATTATTAAAACAATGATTTAAAATGTACCTTAAAGTAAAAGTTTTAATTTGACATTTTTTGACATAATTTGAAAGTATACGTAAAAGTCAACAAACATGACAATGATTACAATTACTAAGATATCAGAGATGACTGGACCAAAATGTATGAACGACGTTTACCTGGTGGCTGGTAGTAGCTCATGTAACCATTCATAGGTTGTCCTTTCACAAACATTCCATTTTCGCTGGGGTTGAGCTGATGGGCATGTATGATTTCATTTAACTTCTTCTGCAGTGATAAGAAATCTTCAGAGACCTTGGTTACCTGAGCAGGTTACAAAGAATGTTATCAACTGAATTTTGTGTAAAACCTCAAAATTCATGAGGCAAAGAATGTATATCTTAAACCAAGTCTCATATTTAGGATGCTACTCTTTGAAAGATTAGTCCATGGGAAAAAAGGTCATCATTTACACACCTTCATATTTATCCATATACATTCTTTCATCTACCAAACACAAATCGGCAGCATTTGGCAGATTGTTCATGCTGCTCTGTTCCATACTATGAAAATTACAAAAAGCATCACAAAAGTAGCCAAACAATACAACTATTTGCCATCTCGATTTCTTTTTTTATGTTCCACAGAAGAAATACAGGTTTGGATTGATAATCAGGGTGATTAAATGATGACACATTTGTCCTTTGTGGGTAAACTTACACAAACACACACAAAAAACGAATCACCTGTTTGCAGAGTGCCTCCACTTCCTCATCCTGTTTTTGTGATGTAGCTTTCAGGTTCTTTCTGTCTTTGTAACCTCTAAAATTGCTCTGGATTTTAATGGCTGCCTGCTCCTCATCATATTTGGCTTCCTCAGCCTGAAAATCCTCCTCTTCTTCTACCCCCTTCCGTTCCAGCTGAACATCTGTGATGTCCAGAGCTTCCCCATTCTCCTGTTCCTCCATGTCTTCAACCATTTCTTGCTCTTTTCCAGTGGCTCCTTCTCTCTCTGCTCTTCTCTCCTGGTGGCCTCTCAAATTGCTCTGTAAAACAGTTGCAGCATGTTCTTCATCTGCCCCTGGAGACTGACTGGAATCTGGGTCTTGGTCTAGCTCGAATTCTAATGGAGGTGGTGGGAGTTCCTCAAGAGAAATGCTTGGTTCTGAAGCATCTGGATTAGCCATATCTTCTTTTGGCTTTTTCTTGGGGATTTTGCCTTCCTCCTGTAGCCTTTTACGCTCTTTGTGGCCACGGAAGTTGCTCTGAAGAACCACAGCAGCTTTGGCCTCTTCATCTTCTCCTGGTGGTTCAACTGGAGCCTCATCCTCCTGTTCCATGTCCTCAGTGAATTCCATCAGTTCTTCTGGAGGTGGTGGATCTGGAATAGGAAGCTCCTCTTCAACTGGAGGACTCTTTGTCTCCTTCTTCCCTCTAACTGGCATCTTCCCCTCCTCTTGGAGTCTTTTACGTTCTTTATGACCTCTGAAGTTGCTCTGGATAACAGTGGCTGCCTTGGCTTCCTGTTCATTGTTCTCATCTCCTCCACTTGCAGCCTCTTCCTCAGCCTCCTTCCCTTCTTCCTCCATATTCTCCTGTACTTCCTCTTGTATAGCATCCACATCTTCTCCAGGAGTGACTTCTTCAGGGGTGGATGAGGAAACGCCCAGCTCATCCCCTGTTAAAGTTTTGTTACGTTCCCGATGCTCCTTGTAGTTCTTCCTTTCTCTGTAACCTCGGTAGTTGCTCTGGAGGACCACAGCAGCCTTTTCATCAGCTTCATCCATTACCACTTCACCTCCTTCCTGTGGAGGTTCCTCTGTAACTGGACCTTCTGATTCTGATGGGACCTCCGTCACTTCCTCTGTCTTCTCAGCTTTTTCCTTCTGCATGGCTTCCCTGTGTAAAATAAATCAGTTTATACTACCATAGCACTGTTAAATTCTTGATTTTACTCTATAAGCCTGTTTCCACCGCAGGAACTTTCCCTAGGAACTAGGGACTTTGGGCCAGTACTCGGTGTGTTTCCACCACAGGAACCAGGATCTAAATAAAGTTCTGGGTAAAAATTAGCCCCTCAGAAAGTCCCTGTTCGCGAGGTAGTACTTTTTCAATGGTCCTGAACTTTCGGTGGCGGGACTTGGGCGCTGAACATGCTGATTGGTTGAGTTCACGCAACATTATTTCAACCAACATTTAATCACATAATTTTCAAAATATTACTGTTATTGTGTCATGAAATGTAGTTTTAAGAGTATTTCAGGCAAGAATGTAGTTGTTTAAAACTCAAATCTGCGGTTTATTTGTAAAGACAGCGACTATTTGAAAATGTGCTTCGCCGATTTCGGAGAGGTGAGGTCCACGCGATCAGCGGGCGCTCAGTACTTATGAATACCGATGAGAGCAGCCTCAACTCGGCTAGTCCATCTGACATTTGCTACTGGCTCCGATGTCTCTGTTGTGGTTAAACATGAGATATAATTTGTTTTGGGTAAATCTAACAGGTCATCTTTGGTCTTTATTCTATTAATATATTAATATGTTATGCATGTATGTTCCCTGAACTACATTTCTGCAGCTATTAATAGCCTATGTTTAAATGAAAATAAAAAGAGGCAGTAGTGTTTGATATCATTTTTCGTTTTATTGTAAATACAGTGAGGGAAATTGCAGTAGCCAAGGCGAGCTGACTTACATTATCAAGTACGCTGCTGTTCCATTTGCAGAATTACCAGACTTGTGTCGTCCCATCCCCGGGAGTTCACACTCCTGAGTCCAAACTACCGAAGATGCAAGTCCAAAATTTGCGTACTGAAAAACGACCCTGGACTGGGAGGAGCAGTCGCGCGCATGTGTACCTTGCTCTGATTGTCAATTACAGCATTAAGCAGTCTAAGATTTTATTATTCATCCATCTTCCAAACCACTTGTCAAATATAGGGTTGTTGGGATGCTTGGAGCCCATCCCAGGGAAACACATTCACATCTACGGACAATTTATTGTCTCCAATTCACCTATCCTGCACGTATTGGACTGTTAGGGAAACCAGAGCACCCAGAGGATGCGGGACAGAACATGCAAGCTACACAGAGAAAGACATCTTAACTCAGCCAACTAAAACCAATGACCTTCATGACCCTACAAGGTTGTCAATATCCCGGTATTACTGGGAGTCTCTCGTTTCACTTCACGGCTTCTCTCTTTTCATACCAACACAAGTTGGTATAGCTGTTGCAATTGATGTTATCTTGCAAATTTGGTAAAATGGTCTTGCAGGACTTCAGTATTAATTGTATGGTTAGCACATACCTTTTGTTAGACAGCGAGAGACTGAAAATGAAACCAAGAAAATGAAGACAATGCTTGGAAGAACAAGGAACCAGTAAGACAAAGAGCTTGATGAGATAGAATTTAAACTGAATTGATGAACCTTTGATTGAAAATGTTGCATTTTATTTCTAAGATAATCTACAAGTAGGAAGATAAAACCATCTGGAATAAGAACAGGACTTACTTTTTCCTCTTGAAGCTTTTCCTCTCTTTGTGCCCCCTGTAATGGGCCTGGATCTTTGCAGCAGCTTTGTTCTTCTCATCTAGCAACTCCTTGTATTTCTGCCTTGCCAGATATCCTCTGCAAACTGTATGAAGATGCCATGATTTAGTGCAAGTCTTTTCCTTCTAAACTCATTTAGTTCAGTTTCTTCAATACATTTGTAATATTTTTTGTCTTACCTGCTTGGAATTGTGTGATAACAGCTTCTGACTTTGCTTTGCTTTTGTCATCAGCCACTCTTTTCCTAACTTTGTGTCCTCTGTATGCTAGAAGAAAGGAGATTTTAGAGCTTGTTCAGCAGAGTATTCTGCATTTTAACATCTAGTCAACAACAACAACATCAGCACACCTGACTGCAACACCACAGCACTTTGTTCTCGCATTTCCAGCACCAAACGGTATCGTTTAAATGCCAGCCAGCCCCGTACATATGCTTGGACCAGAACAATCCTGTCCGTGGTCTGCCTCACCATCAGATTCAGTTGCTCCGCATGATAGTACTTAAGAAATACCTGAACATATAACCATCAGACTTAGGAACTTGGTTGAACAAAAAAAAAATTGCAGTTATTAATGCCATACATTCACAAACCTTTGTTTTTCCTAGAACCCAGTTCTCTAGTTTGGCCTTCTCCAAAATAACAGCACATGTCTCAGGATTCATTGCTGGCTCCTCATTGGCTCTAAATGCCAATATAGAGTATCTGAAAAGACCAATGGTTAGTAAAAGGCAACTTTGAACATAACAATTGAGAAATTATGGTCTAAAAAGGCAATCCTTTTCCACCAGCAATGTGCTAGTGCCAGTATCGGAAGAGGTGGTCCATTATTGGTTGTTAAATGGTAGTTCTCGCCAGTTTTGATGGTTGTTACTTTGGATATTAAAATAAGTTTTCAAAACTAAGACCAAAGATCACGATGAGCTATAATGGGTTCCATGATGGCTTTGTTTGAAGGGGGGTTATGTAGTCACACCATGTCATTTTTCATTTCTCAAGTCATTTGAAACACAGGCCAGTTATGGGATGGGAGTATTGGTATTGGCTCTAGCACCAACATAAACACCATTTAGGTAGAAAAGGGGTTTATGCACTTGACACACAGTGATATGTAGTATCAGTCCAACCTTTCAATGAAGTTGTTGAAGAGAATGCGATGAGAGTAGCCCTGTCTGCGTATCTTGGCCGTCTCTAGAATACCAGTGTAGCGTAATTGGATTAGAACCTTCTCCCTGTCAAACTTATGGGCTTGCCGATCATTGTTGGGTTTTATGCAACGCACAAAGTGAGGCTGGCCTGCCACCATCTTTGATAACAGGTCCATTAGAGAATACTGCAAAGTACAGTGAATAAAGCAAGACTGTGATCAGGAGTGACGATTTTTATTGGTTCTTCTCATTATTAGGTCTTCAAAAGTCTTACTCTGAAGTAAGAGGCCACAGTTTGAGTCTTCATGTTGGTGGTCTCTCTGGGGTGATGTGTGGTGTCTCCTGTGCTCTCCGCCTTTGCAAACATAAAATATTCAGCATGCTGGAAACATGTGGTCATGAAAATCTACAGAAGGGATATTGGGGGTCTTTTATATAAACATAAAATGATCTGTTTATAATACATTTATGCATGTCTCCTCTTGGAAAATCTTATACAACAAAGCCAAAGGTCAGGGTAAACACACAATCACCGTTTGTACAGTGTCAACAGGCAAGGCAAGCATTGTTTTGTCATGGGTGGGAGTTAATTTCCGAGAGGAAGACTGAAAAATAAATGCATAAAAATTGTGATAAGACAGTCTGATTTGAATCCAAAACTTTTTTATATATAGTAAAGAAATAACATGAAATTAACTGCAGGATTCATTTGCAAAGCAATCTAACAAGCATTCAATCATCAATAAGGCCAAAGTCCTTGTTTGAAAGGGCCATGAATATTTCACCAGGCTATATTATCAAGGTGTTTCAGTGTTGAACACAAAGCAGAATCACACACTGACACAGGTGCTTTTATTTTACGTGGGCTAAAATGGATAGAATCTTTCATGTGACATTTTCTAAAGATAGCATGCTTATATATGCAAATCAATGGTAATGTATGCAGGTCTTCATCAAAGAGATCATTTCAATATGTTTAAAACCCTCATTCATTTTAGAGTGCAACCTGAATGTGAGCTCTAAGTAGCTCATGTGTTCTCTTAATAATTCTCTTGGGAATAATAAACTAAATGCTAAAAAACATTAAATTTGGAACACAAGTAGATGTTTTTAAAATGCGACTGCACATAAACACATGAAGGCAATTCTCCTAAATTCCACAGGGACACTCAATTCTAATGTGTATTATATGAACTAATCAAGCTGTAAATCAGTCAATCTACAAATGCATTAGCTATTAGACAGCTGGTAGGGTCACATGAGAAGATACTCTTTCATTCTCACAGACATGGGTCATTTTCAGGAAATGGTGCCAAGCATGTCTCCATGATTACTGATGCAACGAACAGACCTTTGTTGCAATATTTGCAATACACTTTTAAATGAAACAAAATTGTACTTGTTAAATGTTTGATTTTCATAAAACATGTAAATGTGCATATACTCACATTAGCCCTTTTAATTTATTTTTGAAATCATAATCATTAAATTCACATGGTGAATTTCTCTTTCAGTCTTTATCAGTATTTCATAATGTTTATTGGCCTCATCAAACTCATTTCAATATCTTTTCAGTATTTTTGTTTTACAGAACTTTACAAATAAAAATATAATTGGTTCAAATATTGAGTATAATCACTGTAAATCATGTAATGTGTTGTAAAGTAATGATAAATGGCTAGTTAACGTTATATTTTATGTTTAGTTAATGACTTTCATTTAACCAATAGAATTACAATTTACTATATATTACTATAGATTTATAATTCAAATGTAAATGTCTAAAGGGTTTAAATAATATACTGATTTTGATAGTTAATTAGGAAAGAATATTAACATTATATCACATTATAATGAAATATGTTTAAATTTGTAAAATATACAGGCACAGATATGCCATCCCGTAATACCTGAAACATAGACACCATATTTTTTACCGTGAATTTCTGGCACAGCTGACTTTTTAACTTTTTTCCCCCTTCCAATATTGGGATTAACAGTATAGTAACTAGAAGGGGAAAAATCTGAAAATGGGAAGGATGCATCAACCTAAGGCGATCAGCTAATGTCTAAGGTAGTACTGTCCTGGTAATTTGTGCCTGAGGTGGGAAAAAAAAAACGATTTCTTGAAAGTTCAGAAATAACTTTTTCAAATAAAATGATAAAAAAGCACAGTTTCCTGAGAAAGACCCACATATATACAAACACACACCCAAAACCGGTGAGCACAGTGCCGGCTGGCAAAAGGTGCATATCCTCTATGAGCACGTCTCTAATGTACAGCACGAATACTACAGGATCATTACCTCACCGAATGATACAATACTGAACAACATAAGACCCTCCAGCTTTAGACAGAAGACATTATAAGGAAGGAGGAATGGAAATGTCATTGATGGGTATGGAGTATGGAAAGACAGAGAGACAAAATAGAGGTGGAAAGAAAATTAGTACATTCCAAAAAGTGAAACCACTGAAGCGCCTAGCAAAAACATAAGCCCCACTACCTTATGAATGCCCACATTTAAACATCAACACCTAGCAACTTCAGCAATTTCTTGAGGTTATCCAATCATAACACAGATCATTTACATATAGAAGTCTTAAAGGTAGAGTAGGAATAACAGAACAGTGCATGGTGATGGGGAAAAAATATATGTGTTGGGAGGAAAAAATATATTTCAATGTTTCTGCAGAAGTATTGTGTTTCCCTGAGAAACAGTGTTCAATCCAAAACATTTGTGTTCTCATTTATCATCATTTATGATCTTTTTCAAAACCATTGCATTTCCCAGAGAAACTTTGCATTTGCTTGCAAAACACTTGCAGTCTCTTGCAAAACTATTGTGTTCCCCCATGAAACTTTGTGTTCACTCACAAAATTTGCGATCTCTAGCAAAACTACTGCGTTTCCCCAATAAACTTTGCACTTGCTACAAAACATTTAAATTCTCTTGAAAAGCTATTGCATTCCCCTTTAAAACGTTGGGTTCACTCAAAATCTCTCGCAAAACATTTGCAATCTCTCGCAAAACTATTGTGTTCCCCTGAAAAACACTGCATTCGCTCCAAAACATTTGCCATCTCTTACAAAACTACTGCGTTTCCCCTTTAAAACGTTGCGTTTGCTCACAAAACATTTGCGATCGTTCGCAAAACTACTGCGTTCCCCTGAGAAACGTTGCATTCACTCCAAAACATTTGCAATCTCTTGCAAAACTATTGTTCCTCCAAGAAACTTTCCATTCACCCACAAAGCATTTGCGATCTCTAGCTAAACTACTGAGTTTCCCCAAGAAACATTGCATTTGCTCAAAAAACATTTGCAATCTCTCACAAAACTTCTGTTCCCCCGAGAAACTTTGCACTTGTTACAAAACATTTAAATGATCTTGAAAAGCTATTGCATTCCCCTTTAAAACGGTGCGTTCGCTCACAAAACATTTGCGATCTCTCGCAAAACATTTGCAACCTCTTGCAAAACTACTGCGTTCCACTGAGAAACTGTTCGCACGCAAAACATCTGCAATCTATCGCACAGCTATTGCTTTCCAAAAAAACTTTGCATTCGCTCGCAAAACATTTGCCATCTCTTGCAAAACTATTGTGTTTCCCCAAGAAATGATGCGTTCACTCACAAAACATTTACATTCGCTCGCAACCGTTTGCAATCTCTCGCGAAACGATTCTGCTCCCCTGAAAAACACTGCGTTCGCTCCCAAAAATT